ATTAGAACAGCAATGCTTAATACCGAGTTTCTCTTCAAAAGAATCTAACGAAAGAAATGCTATGAAGTTGACATCGTCATATAGTCAAACTTCAAGGTCATGGGGAATAAATTCATAGTGTATTTAGAATGGCATTGTCACAGGTAAATACTAATACACATGTGTAATATGAAAGTCCTTCTCTTCTCATTCAAAATATATGACCATAATGACCAACGTTAGATTTATTGTGATAGACGGACAGACTGACATACATATGAAATTTAATGTCCCCTACCTTTCGCGAAAATGGGGGACAATAAATGTCCTTGCTGTTCTTGAGAAGTAGATTTATGATGGAAAAAGTCAAATGTATATTTCTATGTAAGTTGGTTGCAATTGGCCCAGTGGTTCTAGAGAAGTTGAAAATGTGAAAAGTTTGCAGAGAAACAGATACACGACAGAAAAAATCTGATCAGGAAACCAGAAAAACTCAAGGAGCCAAAAATTTATGATTCACAAGTATTTGGAAAGGGTTACAGTTTCTGAAAAGCTGTTTTTTTCATGCATTTTTTGAGAAGCTGAAAATGTATGCAACCTGATGTTGAAAAAAGTGCACATTTCAGATAACAGTATTTGATTGAAAATAGTTAATTAAGGTGCTTTGAGTAGCAAAAAGCTAAAATGGTATAACTAGTTCAACTGCAGAACTTAGTCAATTTTAATTTGCACTATTAACCTTTTAAACTCTAATAATAATTATTTTAAAATATAAAATGTACATTGGCAAATAATCACGATGGTTTTAATTTCACTATGTTTGCGATGTGTAATTATTCCGCCAAATAAAACCTATCGTGAATTCTATCATTAGTTTCTATAAACGTTTAAATGCGTATACACAATTAAAATTAATTTCTTGCAGCGTGAAATTAAAACCATCGCAATTGGTACTTTTCAAGAAATCGTGAATTTTAACACCGTGGAATTAAAACAACTTACAGTATATCATCATTTCTGATTCAAGGGAGAACTTAGTAGATATGACCAGAAGTATGGAGACACCACCCCTTAAAGATTACCATGACAAGACGTGTTTGTGAAACACTGATGCCCCGTATGGCAGCTTTTAGCGAAGATTGAAGTTTCTCAAATGTAAGTCAAACTCCAAGGTCAAAGTGTCAAAATTGTTGGTATCAAAAGGAAAGTCTTGTCTCAAGGAATAAACATGTGACATAAGAGAGAAATCACAAGTACTTCCTGTTTAAAAGTTATTGCCAAGGTTAAAGTGTTTTTCAAGTGGATCAAACTGAAGGGTCAAGGTCAAAAATATTTATACCTGTTGAAAGTTCACAATGAATACACATTAAGCATGAAAGCCTTAGCACCAACTGCTCAAAACTTAGGCCAAGTTTATACTTTGGTATTTTTCCTGTAAACGTGGGTCAAACTCCAAGGTCAAGAGATTTATTAGGTATCCATGTGATACTGTAAAACGAGAAAATTTGGCGCATACGTATTTTAACGCAAACGCAAGTGGGAATGCATTGGCGCAAATAAATTTTAGCGCTTGCACTTGTCAGTAAAATACTAGTATATAAATGTGATATTCTGTTTTTTTTTTAAATCCACATCCGTATTTGACTTTTTGGTTTGTCAAGCACAGAAACACATTAGTACTCTCATAAACATTCGTTAACTTTACCGCGTACGTGTTATCACATGGCGGTGGTACAATGTCAATTTTTTTTTATTTCTAATTTCAATTAAAAGAAATGGAGTATTTACTCTCTTAAATTATACAAAAACAATGCATGCATCGACAGAAAATTACTCAGATAAAACGGTAATCCTAATCAGGTATTGTCTGCAAGCTCAATCGCCATGCTTGATTGCATTGTTTCCCTCCAATCGATAGATGACTGACACGCCGAGAAGCCAAACTTTGAGGGTGCTAATGATAATAATCGGCTAACAACTACCGGGGTAACAATAGCTTAATCAAATTATAATTTGGCGAACTTTCTGTCTTCCGAACATCTGCAGTGCTAGTGTGTATATAAAATCCTATGACCCTTCGACATTACGTAATCGCGCGTTATGGTTTACAAGTACTTATGTAAAAGCTTTGAACACACACAAAAATGATATTTAGAAACCTTTAGCGCACAATAAATTTTAGCGCTCAGGGGCTCTTGCGCCAAAGGCGCTAAAATTAGTAGTGCGCCAAATATTCTCGTTTTACAGTACATTTATTTACAGCAAATTTTTGAAAGAAAGCATCTTATTTTAATGTAAATAATTTTTTTAATTTTCTTTGAAAAAATACAAAAAAATCATATGAAATAATTAAGAGCTAATGTCGGCCTTTCAATGCTGAAACCATTGTTTAAAAAGGTTGACTCAGAGATCTATAAAATAAAAAGTTGGTGTGGCATTCCTCCTTAAAGGTGTTGTCACAAGGAATTTACCTATGAAATGTGGAAGCCACGTGTATAGCCCAACGTAGAAGAAACAGACATAATGTAAACACAAGAAACAATTAAAATGTAGAGTCAAATGGAAAAATATTCTACTACTTTGGAGTAACAAGATCATATATCATTTCAGGGAGAGTGAGTGGCTAGGGAGATCGGACCCCCCCCCCTCTGGAACTTGCAGAGTTATTTAAATAGGACTGTATACTTAAGCAAATAAAATGACTTTGGACGCCCCCCCCCCCCAAAAAAAAACCATGAACCCCACCATCATTGTTTTTATTTTATTCGTTTTTTCTTTGCTTCTCGGGAAATTCTGGGTGTTGGAATTTTTTGACTGAGGTGTGACCCCCTCCCTCCTTTCCAAAAAAAAAAATAGTATGGATCTGCGCTTGTAACTGAATGTCACGTCGACAACGGGAGATAACTTAAGAGTGTGAAATTCGTCTACTGTGGCATGCGATGATCTTTGACTTTTTTTGAACTTGAACTTAACCATGTGCATTTCAGTTTATTTCACTCCAATCTATGTATAAACTTGTTCTTACCGACTGTCACAGGTCCTGTCAACTTCATGAAATATAATCCAATTAAAACACAAAATGAATTATTTCAAATGACATATACACACCGAACTGCACCATCAGCATGTGCTATCTCATTCGGAAAACATTGGCAAACCTTGGCTGATTCCATCGCCTTTATCAGATGAAGTACGAATTGGACGAGGTGTGCCGAGTGGTGCTATCTAAAAATGATAATGGGTGACGCAAACCCAATGTGATGAAGAAATTTCAAAAAGGTGTGCATGTATAGTACAAGAACAAATTTCAAATTATAATTACAAAAGATGTTTAAGCATAACTTTGCCGTCTACGCTATTTCAGAAAACGTGTGTGCGTGTGTGTGTGTTTGTGGGGGGGGGGGACAAAATTGATTGAGTTGGATTTTCCAGGGGTTTTTTGCCTGACCAAATACTAAAAAAAGTTTGCACATTTTGATAAATTCATCAAAAATGCTTTGTACTATGCCTAAATTAATAGTATTTGTTGTCAAGAAAGTAAATTTAAAAAGTGCAAATATCATGAACAAAAAATGTATCAAAATCTAATTTATATCATTAAATTAAATTCTGTTATTTCAGAATGGTAATGAATTAAGGTAGCCCGATCCTCAGGTTCATAAAATCAACAGTTAAGTAATTGAAAATACTCATAGAAATATCCCAGAATCCACAAAGTAATGTCAATTTATCCACAGTTTTTTTTTCTTTGAAGTTAAACATTAAAGTTAATCATGTTATACGTATAGGGAAAATTGACAAATCTCCAATATTTATGCAGAAAAAGCGAATATGAATATCAGTTATGCATTTTCTATTTGCAAATTGATCAACAAATATATTTTAGGTTTTAAAAAAATAGGTATCCAGGCATTCGGAGAAATTGTCATGATTTTTATTCTTATTAGGTGTTCTACGTCTTCTATTTCCTTCATGTATTATATAATACACAGTGTAAAATGTTTTTACTATCATTGCAAGACATCACAAATCACTTCTTATTTCATATTATGCTAATTAGCATTGGTATCTAAGGCACAATTTAAGAAAATTTTATTTCTTTAAAACTGTATTTATTTCTTTTTATAGGGTAAAATTGTCAACTTTTTATATGACCTTTTCTAAGACTTCCAAAAACCTTGAATCATAAAAAGATGAATATTTACATTTAAGATGTCTTTGTCCGAGATAAAATTACAAATAGTAATTGTACTTTATTTCCCCATCAATGTATTGGTTCATCAATAGGCGCGGTTAAAAAAAATCACGTGAAGGGCGGAACAAATAGCTAGACAGAAGCAGGGCTTGGAGCACGTGGATTGGCGGAATCCAAAGCATGTAAGTATAAGGAATAACTGTCAGATTTTTCAATTTCATGTCGATGATAATTTTATGCATAAAGGTCTTCGGCGTATTTGCAAATTATCACGCAAGCCAATCGATTGATCACATCATGAAATCGAAAAATAAGACAGTTTTTCCTTAAATAAAATGAAAATTATTACATGAAAAAATTTCATTTTCAAGCTTCATAATGATGCATTTTAAATCAAATATTGATTTTTGGAGTTATCCTTCCTGGCTGAGGATCGGATATCCTTACGTATATGAAATACATTGTCATATAAAAGGCTCATTGATCACCTAAGAATTTTATGCTCTAGGTAAATCATAGAATTATTTTGACTTTTTCCTTGGAAAGTCCAATATGAAGAAGCGTGTATTTAGAGGCAAACATCTTAGCGTGGGTATTACTGTCTTATGGCAGCATCTAGTTGAATTTGAATTTTAACAGATAACAAAAACAATAACAAAAGATGTTTAACTAAATATGACTTATTTACTGATATGCCGTGCCATAAAACATAAAATTAAATAAGGAAATTCGTGTAACTGGGGTATGCATGTACATGTATATACATGCAACCTAGACTTTAAGGTTCGTTTATTTCCTTGGTTTGAACTTCAACGTCCTGTTGAAAATGAAAATTTATTTGAAGGTTCTGTTGTTTTTGGTTCTGGTTACAGGTAGGAATTTCTTTTTTTAGAAGTACCGATTTATAAGGACTGATAAATTTTATCAATGTATTGGATTTGTTTTTATCTTTTCAATTAAGACTTCATAAGGTGCCGTTCTCAAGACGGAGTAGAGGCGTTGGTAGAAAATGCATACGTTTCCTGTTCGCCCAATGATACCTGTACAATAGAATGCTATCGGGGATACATTTTCTCTAGTGGAGAGAGGAAAACAATTTTCCAATGTTTAAATAACAGCTGGTCTCCATCTCTGATGGCTTGTAAACGTAGGTGAATGATAGCACTTCCTTCAAAATCTCCATTTTCTAGACCTACACAATTTTTAACACACTTTGATCGTACAGATACGCATTTTTTAAAGATCTACTGAAATTATACGAAAAAATAAGCATTTAAAATTGCTTCACATGATGTATATATGTTTATCTTGCATCTAAATTTTTAAAACATCTTTTCTACACAAATTTCCTACAGGTATACCTATTGTATCTATGGAGTACTACACCGTCTGGAGTCTTGACGTTCAACCATCGGAATGCAACAATATTTCACAGCGTTTAGAGAACCCAAAACGTACACTTGAAGACAATTTCAGCAATATCTGCAAATACTTAAATGTTGATGTGAATGTGACTTTTAAACATTCTTCTAGGGCGTTTGAGGTAATGATTGATTGATTGATTGTATGTTGTTTAACGTCTCTCTCGAGAATTTTTCACTCATATGGAGACGCTTTGAGGTAATGAGAAGAATGATTAAAAAAAAAGCCTTGTCAAGTTTTTTTTTAAATCCTTTCACTTCTACTTTATGTACATGTACATATTTTTTACTAGTGTGTTAAATAAATGCATAATCCTGGCTTATTTTCTTCTATATCCATATTGATTTCTACAAGCATGATAAAGTTCCTGAGATTTGGCTTATAAATGATTGAATAATAATTTAATTTTTCACTGCATTGGAGAATCTCTCTCTCTCTTTCTTCCATATTATAAATAACTTTTATGCTCCCGTTAACGAATCTGTCCGTCCGTCTGTCTGTCTGTCTCTCTGTCTGTCTGTTTGTGTGTTTGTCCGCAAAAACTTTAACCTTGCCCATAACTTTTGATTAGGTGGAGCCCTGACTTTCATATTTCATATGTGTATTCATTGTGACAAGACCTTTCTTTGGGTACCACCAAATTTGACCTTTTGACCTTGGAGTTTGTCCCACTTTTACATGAAAATTTTAAACTTTAAATTTGGCCATATCTTTTGAACAGTAGATATCAGGATATTTATACTTCACATATGTATTTTTGTTGGAAGGCCTTTTATTGGATACCAACAACCTTGACCTTGTAGATTTCCGTACTTAAAAAAAAACTTTAAACTTGGCCATAACTTTTGAACGGTAAGGGATAGGGCTTTCATACTTCAAATTTTAAATCCTTGTGAGAAGACGCTTCATTGGATACTAAGAACTTTGACCCTTTGACCTTGACCTATGAGATTGACCTACTTATAAAAAACAAAACTTGACTCTAACTTTTAAAGATTAGGGCTAGTGCTTTCATACTTTACATATTTAATTCTTGTGACAAGACATTTCATTTGATAACAAGAACTTTGACCCTTTAACCTTGACCTTGAAGTTTGACCTACTTTTAATTTTTTTTTACCTTGGCCATAACTTCTGAACGTATATGGTTAGGGCTTCCATACTCTACATAAGTATTCTATGTGGCAAGACCTTTCATTGTATACCAATTACCTTGACCTTTTGACCTTGACCTAGGAGATTTTTGTACTTATTGAAAATTTTAACTTTCAAATTTTACAATTGTTTTCCAGTGAGAATACCCTACTTTTGGTACCAATTAATTAAATTTGCATTTAAGAAAAGTTTAATCTTTGCTATGTTGCCATACGGGGGCATCAGTGTTTCACAAACACATCTTGTTAGTTTTGAAATGGTCCTTGCAAAGAGACAAAAATACTTTCATCATTTAAGTATAAGGTATAATACAAATGTAAAAACCGGAGGTTATTAGTTTTAATTTTTACACTCTCTCTCTCTCTCTCTCTCTTCAATGTATAAAAATTTATGCATTTATACAAAGATCTCCATCTGGAACATGCCTATTTCAAACATGCTTGATAACATAACATGTAATTGCGACCTCATATCAAATTAAATGTAACAGAGAAAAATGAGATTTGTCACCCAAATACTACTGTACAGAGTGTGACTAGAAGTGATATGGATAGCGATGGAAGAGAAATGTTTTGTGGTGAGTCTCTCTCTTTTTCTCTCAATAATTAATATCTAAAAATTTTCATAAACCTACACAGTTCATAAATGTGCTTTTTAATAAAATGATAATTTTATATCATATAACATGTGAAAATAACACATGGTACTGAGGAAAAATACAAGAAAATAAGATTTATCGGGCACTTGCACACTCCGAACCTTCATGTTCAGTTCAATTTTATTATTCTTATGTTTTTGTACACTCTAGAATCTGCGACGAAGCATTTTGCTAGACAAAATGTGCCTTATTCACTTTAAAAGGTTTGACTGTAAGGAGCAAATGTCTAAAATTAAAATTCTTTATTTGAAAGAAAATGTCGCATGTGTCCATATATATCCTGCATTTACAGCTGCAGGTTTCATTTACTCCTCCATAAGTGCCTGGTCATTGGTGACCTTGGTAGTTGTAACTGGTCAAATGGAGAGAGTAACGGCGAACTGGTGACAAATCTGATTCAAATGTGGTTGATAATATAAGATAATATCATACAATACGTCCGTGTTTATTTTAATTAAAACGTTGTAAACCAATGACATGCAGGGTTCGAGACTTGCCTGTATGAAAAGCATTTTCTCGCCAATTCCCGACTTTCAGTGTCAGGAATATCACAGACAGTTTCACTGAACCGTACTAATATTCCATTGAGAGATTGAAGGTTTTCTTCAGAAAATGTCGTTGCCCTCTGATGATTTCCTTTTCTGATAGTCTTTCACGCTTTGTGCTAAAAAAATCTTGGTTGAAATTGCAATACAGTACATTGCTCAGCAATTTTATTCTGATGGTGTCTTCGTATTAGTAGGATAATAGCCAGACCAGGAAGAATTTAAGTAAAACTTGGCATTTATGGTCAAAGTCTATTGAAATTCTAGATTAATTCCAGCTATATGGCTTTTAAATGAAGTTCAAGGCAAACCTAACTAATTATATTTATGATTGACGTAATCTTTAAAATCTCTATCCTTTACTTATGGTAATTGTAAATTAAAAAAAATTTTAACCATGAAAAAAGGAGCATCTATAGTAGTTCATTAAAGAAAATATGCGTTCTATCGGGTAGATCAATATATACATGTATAAGCATGGTTTACAAGGACAATTGACTTTTATTTTCAATGAATATATATCTTTTTTCAGGTGGACAACTTTGATACAAAATAAACACATTGATTTAACATGTACAAACGATAATTGTCCTTAGTATTTAATAATGAATTTCTTTTATTTTCCAGAGTGACAACTTTGATAAAGTAATAAATGAATTGAATCTCATATATTAACAATGTATCACAAACGACCGAAGCACAGATATAATTTTTTTGTATAAATATATATCTCGATAACTGAAGAGTTAAATACAAACAAAATATTGTTTCTAATTTCAATCAGATAGGTCAAATTCCACTTGGCAAAGCATGGCGGCGGGATATAACACAGAAACTAATAATTCTTTTCTGACCACAGAATATACATCCATGACAACTGTAGTCACCGAGTCCACGTCAAACTCATTAAATGTTTGTCTTGAAATACCACAGAGTAAGATACTTCACAAATTAACGAATACGATATTATTGTTGGTTAAAATTCATCAAATTTTTTAACACAATTTATATGTCCTGACATTTTCAATTTAAAATGTCTAAATGGAGAACTTTTCTTTTTTTGTAGTCTTGTTCTTAACTGTACCAGCAGCAGTCATTTTGATTCTTGTCACAGCAACAATTACTGCACTAGTTACCAAAAAATCAAAGTAAGTGAGCAATAAATTGACCTCTTATTTTACGAAAAAAACCTTTTTATATCATACTTTCATTTTTTATTTCTAGATTAATATTCATAAACTTATTTTTTGAACAGCTCTACGAAAATGATAAATGTTGATATGAACCCTGATGACGTAATAATAAGACAGATACAACCAACAGACGTAGAAATGAAAGACATAATTTATATAAAAAACAGCGGAGGTGAACTGATAGAAAACGACCTCTACCAAAGAACTAGCGGAGCACAGGACGGTGCTTCTTATTCCGGAATCAATGACGTCAGCACGTCCCACGGATATTCTCTCGTTGTCAAAGATTACAATGTTGTCAGAAACTCTGCTGTTGTCGGTAACTCTTCCGATGTCCGAAACTCAGCAGTTGACAGAAATTCTGCTTTTGTTAGAAACACAACAGAAATAAGGGAAGGACATTTACCATATACTTCAGAACATGGAGACACTGAAAACATTCCAGGGGATTATTTATATTCTCAAGTGCAGAAAAAATAAGTGGCTACGAAATAAATTAGAATAGAGAAACATTTTTCTAAAAGACAGAAAAATGTCTGCAAAGTTATAAGATTGAAATTATCTTTAAAACTGTTTACCCTCGTTTTCACTGAAAGTGGGGATATTAATTCTGGTCTGTCTATCTGTCCGTCTGTCTTTCTGTTTGTTTGTAACACTTTCATTTCCGCAAGATATCTCGAGAACTGTTTAAGCGTTTGCAATGAAATTTAAGTTAACAAATGTCTATGGTCTAAAGAAGACTTCTATTGATTTCTAGGTCAAAAAGTCAAAGATCAAGTGAAAATTCATTCATTCTTTTGTGGTGTAAAACTCTTTGAATTTTGAACGATTTCAAAAGAGGCTTTTGAGCTTCAACAATTTTTATATCATAGTTTCGTATGGTCGTCCAAAAGTGTCTGCCATCCCCTTGCTCCCTTTAAAATTAAGCATTTTCTTTTTTCCTTTAGGGTAGGACACAGATTCTCTGAAATAGCTTGTTCTGTAGTTCGTGTTTTATATGAAAGAATACAAGTCATTTACCCATGTTAAGAATAATATACATATTAATAGAATCTTACATTGTTTATCAAGTACAATTACCCAAACACCATTACTCAAAATCGCAAAGAAAATTAGGGGTCAGTTTACATCGTATTATTAATTTGCCATTTCGTAATTAAAAATTGTTACCTTTAGACTAATCACTTTAACATGGACCATACTTTTTTTCAAATGTAATCATAAATATAATGTTATGTTAGGTGAAATTATTTTAGCAATTCTATAAGTGATAAATCCTGCAAATTAATGTGCTTTAATTGTTTTGAGACATTTTTTGTATCTACAAATATTATTTCTTGGAAATAAAGAAACCATTATCTATTTGAAACATAAAAGGTATAATTACCAAGGCAACAAAGAAATCCAGACTAATGTTGTGAGCTGTACACGTTTTCTATGTACAAAATGATCAAATAAAAAATACAATAAGTTGATTTTTATAACCAAGTAAAATAAAAATGTGTAAAGCCTCAACCAGTTTATTCATGCATGGTTATGGAAAGATACTAATTTACATAAATTGGTATGTGCTTTTGAACAAGGAATTTGTCTCGATCAACTAATTAAAATTATTTTCCCCTAATTATATTTCGTATAATATCTAAATAACACTCGTTTTCTGAAAGTTTTTGCAGTCTACAGCTGCATTTAATATTTTCCTTAATCACAACACAAGTATGTCCGCCTATTTTGTTTGACTTTTTTAATCACAACACAATTATTTCCGCCTATTTTGTTTGAGATTTTGTTAACTACATTGATGATAAAATTTCTTGCTAATTTAGTAAAAATATGTCCGTGTGTAAATGCATGTTTATATATTTCTTATTAAAGATATGTAACAGTCACGACTAATTCTATTAAATCGATTATTATATTTTTTTTCCCTATTGCAGTTACATTTACATGTACATATACATCAAAAGTAATCAATGTTTTGCAAACTTTTGCTTTTATATATTCAGTAAAAAAAAGTTTAAATGAATAAATCATACAAATAATACTCAATTAATCAAATGTAATATACCCGTACTCCATTTAGTTTTGATATTGAGATAGTTTTTTATGATAAAACAATACGTAGAATTAAAATTTTAAAGTGGTAATCTAAAACAAAATTATTACATTTAATGATATTAAAAAATGCCTACAAATAAATGATATGAAATATATCGCAAACCTGAAATTTACAAAGATCACAGTTTGAAATTTTTAAAAAAAAATGGTAAAACACAAAAAGTTCTCTTGACAATGATGATATATTTTTTTTAAAAAATACTATAGAATTATCTTCAGTAAAACATTATCTCTGGTTACTTTACATAATCAATATAGGCCAAAAGGTAGTATTTCAAAAGATGGACTTCGATTCACTTGATAATATTGAATGGAATTAAAGACAGTAAATATGCTTAAGTTCCGTAATCATTAATAATTGAACGTATTTTGAAACTTTTTGATGACTTTTTGTAAAGAGTGAAATAAAGAAGTTGTGTTTTGTGTTTTAATTCTAGTAGAAAGGAAAATTAAGACGTAAACACACACTAAAAGTAAATGTGACAGAGTGATAATGATCTGAAATCATTTTTCTGCTTTGTTTTGTTTTTTTTCATAAGCACTAGCTGAGCAATGATTTTGTTTATGCCATATTTGCTAGCAGCCCACTGATTTGATTTGGTTTTCGTTCATGAATTCCACTCATAAAGTTGTGTAGTATGAAATAGTTTTCCCTCTATAAATACTGATACGCAGGCCCATTCCTATCAGGAAATTTACCAGCTGTACTTTGTAAACTACTTGAAAGGTAAATATTTTGTCTATCAAATATTTTGTATTTGAAGTTCAATTAAAAAGCGTAAGTTCTTTGAAATTCATATTTCTGGGGAAAAAAGTTTTAAGCTATAAAATGTTATATTATATAACATTTTTTGAAGAAGTTTTCGCATAATATCACAAATATAACATTTTTATCCATATGCACTGAAAAACTGTTTCATCACGCCGGATATACATGTAGTTATATTCCACCGGAAACAGTTATATTGCCCTCCCGAACCAGTTATGTTCCCTCGCGTGCCATCATTCTGCATATTAAATACGTTGGGTTCAAAATTCACAGAGGCAGTTACTAAGCAAACGTGAACAGTTCCGCTAAAATTAAAAAGTCGGGACGTCTGCTATTTGTTTACTTGAATTCATAGGAATTAGATAATTTAATTGAGGAGAAAAAATCCTTAAATGCAACAAAGGTTACCAACACAAGTGTTAGTATACTGAAAACATTCTGCCATGAAACTAGCTGCACATCTGTAGCGTTATGGCTCTATATATTTGTTATTGACCGTCAAAGACAAATACATAAAACCATAACGCTACAGATTTGCAGCTACCATGAAACAGGACGAAATATTTCGGAATTGTACTCAACGTACATGTGTACATAGTGTTAAATAAAATAATCTGTTCGATGATCGATTTGAGTTCAATGTTTAAAAATGTTATATACCATATATTACATAACTTAATTCTCGGGCAACAATACCAGAATATTTGCCCCTCGGTGACAGGAAAGCCCTAGAGTGCTATGTCGTCCTCTGCCTTCGGCTTTCTTGTCACCGAGGGGCATATTTTCTGGTATGCTGCTCTCGAAGCCATGTAATACCGGTATATGTATAAAATTACATAAGGATTTTGAAGAAGTTTTCGCATTAAATCACAAATATAATATTTTTATCCATATACCCTGAAAAAATGCTTCATCACGCCAGATATAGTTATATTTCACCGGAAACAGTTATATTGCCCTCCCGAACACAGTTATCTTCCCGCGCGTACAATCATTCTGCATATAAAATACATCGGGTTCGAAATTTACAGAAGTATTTGCTAAGCAAACGTAAACAGTTCCGCGAAAATTAAAAAAAAAAAAGTCGGGACAACGTCTGCTATTTGTTTATTTGAATTTCGTGTTTAATAAAAAATTATGTTCGGTGATCGATTTGAGTTAAATGTTTAAAAATGTTATATATCATATATTACATGGCTTAATTCTCGGGCAGCAATATCAGAATACTTGCCCCTCGGTGACAGGAAAGCCCTGGAGTGTTATGTGACCCGAAGGCAGAAGGCGACATAACACTCCAAGGCTTTCCTGTCACCGAGGGGCAGATATTCTGGTGTGCTGTCCTCGAAACCATGTAATATATGTATAATCTACCCTAGTTAGTCATCGATTGGACGTTGGTCAGTATATTTGAGTCAGTACTGTAACAATAGTTACAGGAGTCTGACACTCTCAAAAAAGATATTTTTAAAGATTGTTTACTGACATGGAACTACGAGCAGATTTTAATCTTAAGAAATTAAGAAATTAAAAAAATGATGATAAAGACTATGCATGTAAATCAGTGATTAATTTCTTATTTCAATTTATTACTTTTAAAGAAAATTTAAACAATTTGAAACCTTGTAAACTACATGGTACCAATGCAATCGATAAATATTTACACAGCATTTTTGACACTTGCATATTTTTAAGAAAACTACTCTTCGATTATGTATGAAAGAGTGACCTGTTTGTCAGTAAAATTGTTCATCAAAAGGAATTTTGCTTAACACCGAATTCAATTGAAAACCCAGCATCAATACAAATATTTGCAGCAGATGCAAACTACCTGGTAAATTATCAAATTTATATTAAAAATAACAATTAATAAGGGCATCTTTGATAGTTATACAAAATATTTATTACAATTTCAAATCATCTAATCGTATGTTATTCCAAATCTTTAAGAACTTTAAACCTAATTTATACTAAAAATAGACACGACAATGTACTGAGGACTCGCTTGTTTGATCAAGTTAGGACAAATGAGTATTTGAAGGAATTGACTTCCGTGCTAGGATGGGAGACATTTTGTTATATGGTTTTATTTTAAGTTAGTTTTCAATATATTCATGATTATTCATATCAAATGTATTAGATCTTAAAGATACATCTAACCGTAATATCGAGGAAGAAATGAAATAAAGCCTAATATGTAAATTCATTAGCAATTTGCAGAAAGAATACTACAATGAATATTTGCAGTTAATGCACACTCATTAATTTAATCATGCTACACGTGTTTTAGGTATCTGTTTGGCTGGAAATCAAACAGGTATGAGACCTTGAATTTAATGAAGCAGATGAAAATATTTATCTTCGCGGTATGTACATGTACATGTATTTCTTATTGTGGAAATCTTTTTTTTTTTGCACGTCATTTATATGATTTATATGATTTCAGATATATACTTTTTGCAAAGCAGCTGGGGAATCAATTGATTATACTTGTAGTTTATATCTAAACGTTTCGAAAGAAGCAGATTACAGTGGTTGCAACGTTATTGTTGACAAACCAAGGCATCGAAATCAAAGGAAGCTTAATTTTTTTATATAGGTAAAATTCATATCCGATGCTTAAGTTCAATTTAATTCTTCTGAGGACGATGCATTAAAGACTAAACGTAGTTTTTCCAAACACACCATCATACCACTTACATTGGAAGACAATACTAAAGGTATCTTAAAATGAAATAAATTTATTAAAATGAATTTTTTTGTATGTCTATCATTTGAATATTTAATTGAACACTGTAGGAACATTTTAGGGCTGAGTAATTTAAACGCAAAAAAATTGCAGCACGTACAGGTAACGGTATAGATGGTTTTCCATTGAGGTAATTTAAGCAAGAGTTATTCCTCATGGCCGCCATGTCCTAGATCCCTTCATTATTCAACCATGTTCAATTTGTTATACTGGTTACTGAGGTAAAGTTAAGGTCAAACGCAACGTACAGTTTGAACTTTATTGGGTTTCTTCCCTGGAGTTGAAGAGTTCTACTAAATGAAGGACCTGTGTGCAATATTTTTAATGTCTCTATATGGATTTGCACACCTCTTCTAAAATTATTTTTGAAGAAAAAGATATGGAGTTTAAGTTTTGAATTTTTTTTCTACATTTTTCTTTAAATAATGCGAAAATTTTCAAAAATTCAAAACCCCTGGTAAGGCATGCTGAATTTTTTTTCTAAGAAAATGTAATGGTATTATAAGTTTACATGTAGAATATCTTGAAAAATTATCAGTAGGTAAGGTACCTTCCCCCATATATTTCTGGCATGCATGTTAAACATTGTTTGCTCAAAGAGGAAAATTCACTGCTTTGCCCTACAAGATGGCGGCTAAGGGAAATAACTCCGAGGCAAATTATGTCAAAGGAAAACCATCAATTTGATTGAGGGTTGCTATCAATAGAACATATCAAACCATAATACGAGGGTAGTCCCAGAAAACCCAAACTGGAGCACCTTAATACCAAGCAACACTATGTTGAGCGAGATATGACCCCTGTACATAGGACAAACAGTTGTTTACGACAAAAAAGACAAACATAAGTATAGCAAACAGGTTTGT